TATATTTATATTAAATTTTAATAATTAAATTAAAAAGTGTCGAAAAGTATATTGAATTGAGAAATGTACTTGTTATTATCATTATTTATATATACATGTTTATATTGTTCAATCCATTTCAATGTTCTCATGACTAACAAGCATCATGTCCGTAATGCGCTGTGCCTCTCCATACATGACGATCAGAATATAAAGAACCGATATATTTTTTCTTTTCTTTGATTGGTCTTTTTTCCTTCTTTCGCCTTCGCTGCACCTTCATCATCTACTTCCATTTAATTGGTTTTGCAGCCATCTCTCATCTTTAATCTATTCCACTTGCTATATTTGAACCCAGACTTCTTCTTTTCCATGGAAGTAGAGTACCATTAAGTGGCTTAATTAAGTTGTTAGCGAGTTCTTATTATTTATTAAACAACATATACAAACCCACATAAAATTGGTAAAAATCAACATTTAGCGCCTTACCTTACAAAATTAGTAAGTTTTAGTTCCTCATCTTATAATATGACACTTTAGGTCCTGTACCTTGTAAAGTTGGGAGGTTTTAGCCTCTCACCTTACAAAGTTAATAGGTGTTAATTCCTCACCTTATATTATGACATTTTTAGCTCCTTACTTATACAAATTGAAAAAAATAGTCCCCAACTAATATCAAGTTATAACATTCTGTTAGTTCTATTAGCTGACTGTTAACATCTGTTAGCTGACTGTTAACATCCATTAGCATTCTGCCATAGAAAAACATGAAATTTAAATTCAATTTTATATGTTAGTTTCATTAATGGAATGTTAACGGATACTAACAGTCAGCTAACAGAATTAACAGTCGGTTAACAAAACTAAGAGAATATTATAACATGATGTTAAGTGAGGGCTATTTTCTTCGATTTGTATAAATAAAAAGCTAAAAGTGTTATAATATAAGGTGAAAGACTAAAACCTACCAATTTTGTAAAGTAAGGAGCTAAAACCTACTAATTTTGTAAGGTAAAAGGTTAAAAATATTATATTATAAAGTTAAGAGCTAAAACCTACCAATTTTATAAGATAAGGGGCTAAAAGTTGGTTTTAGCCCCAAGAGAGAGGAAGAAGGCTTATGAAAACTCAATTAGAGGCCCCTTCATGTGCA